CCGGCCATCTAGAGCAAATGGCCCGGTTGGTCACTCGCCTCAATATCGGCTTATATCGGGTATCACTTCCACCCGATTTCAGTGTCCGGATACGATATTTTTCCTTCAGTATAACGGAAGGAAATATTGAATTATTTATTTCTTACTATTTTTTGTCAGTTATTATCGATATTCAATACATTTTCTCTTTTTTTATAGGTATTTATTATTTTGTGTCTCAGTTCTTGTTATTCACTTAATTTGTGTCTCAGTTCCTATTATTAATTTTCCCTTGTGTCTCAGCTCAATATTATTCACTTAATTTCTGTCTCAGTTCTTGTTATTCACTTTCCTTTGTGTCTCAGTTATTCCCTCTCATCTCCCTCTCAAAGGCAACAGAGGAAAAAACCCAACCACGGTGAAAATAACATCGGTCCATCAAAGACACTAGAATCCACTCTTATTTATTTTCCACCGTATTTAGGATCTGATCACAGGATTCCCCCCCCCCTCTCCGCCCTCTCCATCCCTCTTCCTCCTCTCCACCCCCCATCCCTCTTCCCCCCTCTCCATCCCTCTTCCCCTCTCTCCATCCATCTTCCCCACTCTCTCCCCATCCTCCGATCCTGAAGGACATTTATCCATCACCGATTCTGGATAGACGAGTCGCGAAGGACTGCTGGTGGGTTCGTCGGGTACGTTGTGGGTGGGTGCGTCGGGTACGTTGTGGGTTCGTCGGGTACGTTGTGGGTTCGTTGGGTACGTTAGGTGCTTTGTTTACTTTTTCCACCTGGATTCTGTAGGTCAGTGGGCGGCCTTGGTTCAGATCCATCTTAGGGTAATAACGACATACTGCATCACGTGAAGAGTAAACACCTTCCCTAACTAACCTAACCTAATCCAGATAAGTATTTAATTCGGGCGGAAAGAAAATTACCTCTCCCCCTTTCCCTCCTCTCCCTCCCCCCTCCTCTCCCTCCCCTTTCCCCTCCTCTTCCCTCCTCTCCTCCTTTTCCCTCTTCCCATTCCCCTCCTCTCCTCTCCCCTATTACAGTAGTTCCTCCCACTGACTCTCCCTACCAAGAACGTGACTCACTGACCGTAGGATCTTCACTACCAGGAACACACTTGAGTGAAAGTGCCTCACCTCACCTGCGCCAAAATCTTCTTGGTATATATATTAATCGTCTCAAGTGTACGTACAGTCGAGGGCGAAATTCCCTGAACAGTTTATAGTCATGTTGGTTAAGGGAAGTTTAGGTTACGTGTGTGTGTGTGTGTGTGTGTGTGTGTGTGTGTGTGTGTGTGTGTGTGACGATAAATGTATAGGATATGAGAGTTGTATAACCAACCTGTGGAATACTTTACGACACGTTCCTCGCTTTCCGGGTAGAAATGATAAAAATGGCGGTCATAGCTGCGTTAGAGAGAGAGAGAGAGAGAGAGAGACTGACTTAAAACGGGGAAAATATACATCAGTCATGTCAGAGGAAAGCCAGTCCCAAAACTCCCTCCCCTGAAGGATCATTATCAGAAAATCTGGTCAGACAAGCGGGCATTGAGCTGACTAACGCAACTAACAATTCCAGTGTGAGATATCTGGTGTTTACTATATGACTTATATATATATATAATCTTTTGGATCCTATACGCCAGGCGAATCTTCGCTCGCCGCCGAACAAGGATGTATGTAGAGCGTTCATCTGCGTCTTGTGTGTTTGTCTCTCACTCTTTGTTTACCTCTCCTTTTGTTTTTCTCTTGTTTTTATGTCCGTCTTTGTCTCTATCCCCGTTTACCTTCCTTTGTTTAAGCTTCTGTTACCCTGTGTTGCCTCTCTCTCTCTCTCACACACACACACACACACACACACACACACACACACACACACACACACTCTGGAAGCATGACGGAATGGAAAGTTTGGGTAGAGCTTTCTGTGAACCTAATAGGAGGGGGAGGAGGAGGTGAGATCGATACCATGAAACTGTAGCCTTCATGAACCACGTTGTACTGTACAGGGCGGTAGTGATGGTGGTGGTGGTAGTAATAATAATGTTAATATATAATAGATGATAATATTAACGATAGTATTGATAGTAAATAATGAGGGTGTTGTTAATGATGATACTACTACTACTAGTTTAGTCAATAACAATATCTAGATTCATAACATGGACTAAACATTGATTATAAAACTATTATTTATTATTATATTTACATCAGTTTATATATTTACAAATTTACATGTAAACAGATACGTCTATTAACTCCAACACCTTTATATAGATTATATTTACACCTTCTAGCACCTCTGAAAACATCCCTCACACGCGAACAACATTACCCAGGTCAGTAAGGTGGGCGCAGGTTCGTTAATTAAACTCTTGCAGGTATGAGGCCTCTGGGTGGAGATCAGTTATATCTTTGTTTTTTCAAGTCGTATTATTATTATTTTTCTGTTTCTTTTGTTTTAGAACGTGAAATAATGAGGCAACCAGGATGGCTCGAGGGGTCTCTCTCTCTCTCTCTCTCATTATCTACCCGTGCCAGGAAAAACAAATGTCACACCAAACTCCTCTCAAACTGAGTGTTATTTACGCTAACTTGTTCAACAGTCACTACCCGGAAGACAATTTATGTGTTCATCTCTTATAAACCCCAAAGTCCTTATACCACATCCCAACACTACTTAATCATTCAGGGTTATATTGTAAATGTGAGATAAGTTTATGATCCGGTATAAGCATAGATAACGGGGGGAGATATACCCGAGTTGCTGTGCCTTGGCATATTGGCACAGGCAGGCAGAGAGGTAGGTGGGTGGGTTGCCATGAGGAGTGACGTTAGGGGTGATGGCTAGCTGGCACCGTATCACCTTAACCATATACCGCTCCACCACACACACACACTCCTCTTTCCGTGCCAACATTTATACAATCCTCTGAACCTTATTTAAGACTCGTGTGTGTGTGTATATATATATATATATATATATATATATATATATATATATATATATATATATATATATATATATATATATATATATATATATATATATGCCAGATTATAGGTATATTTGTGTGTTCGCGCGTGTGTGTGTGTGTGTGTGTGTGTGTGTGTGTGTGTGTGTGTGTGTGTGTGTGTGTGTGTGTGTGTGTGTGTTAGTAACACAGCTCCAGACATGGTAGGAATATTCCAGTTATGACCCTTTGCACGTGACGGGCTCCAGACAACTGTGGACTCGGGTATTAAGTTTTGTGTTGATTAGCGGAGTGAGTTGTTGAGGCTCCCGGTACATGCCTGGTGTAGGGGGAATGGATTTGCGTATATGGTTGTTGAGGTATGATGCAGTGTTGGTAACAGTTGATGTGGAGGTATGGTGCAGTGTTGGTAGCGGTTGACAATGAAGTTTGGTGTGTGTATTATAGGAATTGGTATGACGCAATCTGCGCTGATATGTAGGTGTATGTATATGTGGAAGAGAATTAAATTGCTTTCTTATCGCCAAGACATGATGCAACATTTGCTGGCATACCGAGTGGCTGTGGACACACACACACACACAATGTAAATTTGAATTGGCTTTTAAATTGCTTTAGCCACTTTTTCATGGCAGAAATTTACTTATACTTCAATCTTTTTTTTTTATTGATGGTTTTAGGGAAATTGTGTAAATCTAGTGTTAGTATCTTGGGGACCTTGTAAATAGACCCCAGTGGAAATAGTTGTTCTCCTGTAGGTGCTTCGTGTACTTCTGCGGCCATACCATATAATAATAGTAGCATGACATTATTTACTCCTATTAGTTTGTCATCTAACTGGTATCTAGTTAAGGTGGAGTCTGTAATTTGGCTGTTATTTTGGGGTTTCTATTTAATTCAGCCAGTTTCTTGTGATCATGTGTGTGTCTGTTTACGATAAAATATTTCAACTTAAGAACCATAAGGAATTCGAACCTATTTTGATGTTACTAATGAGTTGTATCTCTCTCTCTCTCTCTCTCTCTCTCTCTCTCTCTCTCTCTCTCTCTCTCTCTCTCTCTCTCTCTCCATATATCATGTCCTTTCCTAAGCTAATCAGTTTACAACCTCACTTGTATGTTATATACCTGTATACTGGCTACTGTCAAGGCCACTCATAAGGGAACCGTAAAAATGCCTTATCGAGATAGTGATGGTTTCATCCCGGTAAGTCACATAATTGTCGACCCAATTACGATAAGATAATGATTTCTTATCGGTGGGTCTATGTCTCGTAACTCCACCTTAACCCTTGTTCCAGGTCTGTCGTCTTGTGGTGTGAGTGTGTGGTGGTGCTTGCTGGGGAGGGGTGGGGGTTGAAAGACGTCGAGGCGGCGCAGTTGCTAAGTCGTTGTTGATAGTGGGTCGGCAGGGTTCGTTGTGTGTCCTGCTGGAGATGCCTGAAGGTTAGAAATATCTCCTCCCTCGATCAGTTGCCAAGGATTTTTGTCAGTGCCGCGGGCTGTAGGGGGGAGAGGGGAGGTGGGCAGAGTTTGTTTCGTTGGTTGGGGGTGATAAACGATGATTATTATCTCTAAGGGCGTAACAGTAACAGGATTATTATGTTTTTGCTGAGTGTGCAAGGTTACGTAACGGTTTAGCTTGGTTACTGCAATTGTTACCCTTAAATCTGGCGGGAGGGAAGGTCGTTAGAAAGTGAGTCAGGATTGGTTGGCGACTTCGGGAGGCGCTCGGTGATTGGCTGTGGCGGAGGTGTGTCGAGGGGTCCGGCACCTGATCAATGACATCATCTCGGCACTACGCACGAGGGAGGGGAATTTTCCACCTCTTGCAATATCACGCAACTCAGCATCGTGATGCGCACACCCTTAATCTCTTTCCCTTAACCGTTAAGTCTTGTACGGACTGGCTTTCTTTTCCTTACAATGAGTGGTATGCTCAGCGGGGTGGGGGTGAGCAAGGTGGTGTTGGCCCTGAAAGCTTCCTGGTGTGATGACGCACGCACGTGCGGGGGGCGGGCGGGCGTGTGGCGCCGCGCTGTAGCGGTAGCCACGGACAAGCCAGCTGGGAGTGAGGGCCAGTGCGAGCTTCGCCACTGAACTGATAACACGCACCTTGCCAACACCCGAGATAAATTCCACTTGCCACACCAGGCAGTGGACATTTGTATCACTCGCTGTTGTTTGACAATACGTTCACCAATTTGTGATACTATGCGAGACTTGGGATTAGCCTGTACCCGTTCTCCTGTATTTACTTTGAAAATCTTCCATTATCTGCGATTGTTGACTTTAATGTGCATCTTGTTAGATTTATAAGCTTGGGAAAACTATAACTTAGTAAAATTCAGCAGTATTCTCTCAAATTGAAGAAGCAACTTCACCCACACAAAAATATAAAGGTAAGCTATCTGTGTATGATGCTTCACTTATGTTGATTTGGTCTGCGTTGAATAAAACTTTCAACAGTGTGGATGACTGTATGTAATATAATCAACTTTAATTGTGTAGTTTCAGGCCAGCAGGAAATGAGGGAAAACTTTTAATAGATTTAACAGGAAAAGAACTGGGAAACTCGGCGGTGTTGGCGGCTCATTGTATTGGAACTACTGTATTTGCCTTACCTGGATTCATTCACTAATTAGTAGCTAAATGAAATTAACGTTCAGATATTTACTAAAGTTTCCGCGCTTTTTAGTTTATGTTATAGTTTAAGTCGGCCAATTCGATACATTCTTCTATCTACGGTAATGAGGAATGTTTGATGTGTGAAGGTTGTTTTGTGGATACGAACCCTTGCTGATGTGGAGAGCCGTACGCAGAAGGTGGGTGGGTACTCTGGACGACCTCAACCTCAGCAGCGTCATTCACACTGCCCGGCATCATTCTAGACAAAACCCTCGCTGTCTACCATCTCGCTGTAAAACAATATTATTTAAAGCTTGATTATTATTATTTGCTATGCCCGTTTTAAATGAGGTATGTACTAGAGTTACCCATATCCGTTTGTCCTTACTTCCAGAAAAGTTTGGTAACGTAACTATTACAATTTTAATCGGATTAACTTCTAACTGGTAAAACAGTCTTGACCTATCACATACAAATGCGTCTATTATCTTAGTGTTAAGGTTCGATAGACGTCAAGGCTACTGCTGGTGGTCATAGATCAAGCTTTTATCAGGACCATTACACTTGTATCGATAGTTATTTCATCAAGGCTTAACAAGGATGTATGTGTCCTCGCTAGTGTGAAGTCTGCGCCCAAGGTCGTAGTTGTGTAACGTGTGTGTTATTATGATGAAATTGGAAAAGAATATGTATCAACATGTTATGAATATTCCATAAGGTTCATAATTTTTTTGCTGTAGCTTATACTGTAGTTGCACCACGGTGATTAATGGTGTACAGTAGTGTATTGAGTGTGAATCACATCACGACAGGTCACCTGCTGGGCTCTCCAGTGTGTCACCCGCTCCTGATTTATAATTATCTTCATAACCTTTTTATTTATTTGTTATTTTTCTTATATTTACCTTCTACCTTCATAACTTTTATTTATAATTACAGTATTTATTTATTTCTTGTATATGAATTATCCCTTGTTCAGTATATTGTACGTATATGAAGTAGACCTTGTACCGTATGTTATGGTGATATAAAGCTCTATTTTATTAAGTAATGTTAATATTGGTTTATTTGTGTATATGTGCAAGATACTGTAATGAATAAATAACTAATACTGTATTAATGATTTTCTTTTCACATTAAATATATGTAATTTGTGTGTAAAAACAATCATTCGGACGAGAAGTCATGATTAACCCTTTAAGTTTAATTAGTAGAGTCACACCTGGGTATTTTATTCTGGTTAACATTGGAAAATTTTATTCAGGTGAGAGAAACCCCCCTGCCCCTCAGTGGGTTAATGTACAGGGTGTCCTTAAACTATCTGACTCGTTTTAAAATATGGTAAACCCAGTAGTGTTATAGACAGAACAAAGTACACATGTAGTATTCTGCTAAGACAAGAAAAACTTACATTCGTTCACCAAGTATAAAAAATTTTTATAATTGTAATGCTTCTTTTTTTTTTAGTTGGTAATTTTTTTTTTTTATGGGTCAGTAGATTTATGGCATTTTTGTGTAAGTGTAAACAAGACACTTTGTTCAAGTGATGAGAAGTAACATACCCTGTACTAATATTTTCCCAAGTATAATTTATTTCCCTGCTACCAATATCACTTATACATGGGCCAGCTGCCTCTTAAAAGGAGAATGGTGTGTGTGTGAGACCCTGGTTGGCAGTGGCTTGTCCAAGTGTGACAGTTCCAACCACATTCATTATATCCTGGAACAATGATTGTTTCCTCAGCATTTTTTTTTTTTACAATGGCTGTTTGTGTGTGTTGCCTTATGTATTACTACAGTATCATTATAAAGTGCTTTTTCACTGTAAGTACTAATACCTGTACTGCAGTAAAATGCTCACCCCTTGTTATGCTGTCTTCCCAATAATGCTGTAAGTCGTGGTTGTGGGCTGAGTAGTTTGGCAACCAAATACAGTATACATATTTATTTTCTTTTGGTCTCACTTTAACATTATTGCTAAGATGAACCTCAAACTGAGCATCAGAAACTAAAGTGTATTTTCCACAATGGTAGAGAAGCTATCTGTCACAATAGTCATTTAAGTTGAAAGTTACTGAGGCGGAGGTTGTGACTCATTGGTTTGACGGGAAGAAAATAACCGTATTTTTATAACAAGTCATTTGTTAGACTTGCTCAGGGACAAATTGTTAAAAAAAATGAGTGGGGAAAGGCTGTTAGGGCCAGGAATTTAGTTACTGTACATACTGAAAATTTAGGGAAGTGAATATTGAGAAAGAATTATGGAATATGAGGCAAAGAGAAGGTAGGATTGTCAGGATCAGCAGAGGAGCTTTTGCTGTCAGGAATAATCAATTATATTCTAATAAAACAGTAGCTATCTAGACTCAACAGGTATCACCATTGGTTACATTCCAGGAATCTTATGTGCAAGACTTGTGAAGTTTATTGCAGTCAACACTACTGAGTTCCTAAAGTGGTATGAAGTCTGGGTAGAGTGATTTAGGCAGGATAACTTGCAGTAATCTAAACATACATGTATTTACTGCATTTGGCTTTGCACTTAGTGGCTAAAACCATTGTTATCATTGTTAAGTACAGTAGCTATTTATGGTTATCTAACATTGTGTTGATAATGAACAATGCTGCATTTTACTATACTGTACTGTACCCTATAAATCTAGAAAAAAAATATATATGTAAATACAGTATATATACACACACACACACACACCCTTTACCTGTATACTGTATAAACATAAAGTAAAATTGTCAAACAACTCCACTTTGGTTGAACACATACACAGTACAGTACAGTACTGGCATACAAAACCAATGGCAAACAGTAAGTTGAACTTTCTTTATGTATTTCAATGTATTGTATCTAGTAACCTGTCAGAGGAATATTTGATATCTTTAAAAGTTATGTTTTCTTGTGCAGTAACATTCAACTTCCAAATCGTATAGTAGAACAATAAAAAGAATAATATATATTGTATTGCATATACGCCTGTAGATATTTTAATTTTCACCCAATAACTTTTCAGATGTGTTTTTGTTTTAGATATACTGTACTACAAAGTATAGATATAGATGTTATAATCTGTGCTAGCAATATTCAACTCCCATATATCAATAAAAGCAGTGAAAATATATATACTGTATTTCATACTGTACTGTTCATTAAGCGTCTAATTCATTTTTTCTTGTATTTTCTCTTACAAGCTGTCAAGATGAATAGTAATCGGTAAGTATTACGGTAATGTATGAGCTTGAGATATAGTTCTTGAGTAAAGTTCTTTTAATGTATCAGAACAGTAGGTATGGGGCTATACAGTAAAGTAAGGTTCTTGTTCTATATACCTTAGTAAAGTAAGGTACAGTACTGGTTCTATATGCTGTATCAAATTTATGTACAGTACTGGCTCTACAGTACTGGTATATAGTAAAGTACTGGTTCTATATAGTAAAGTAAGGTACAGTACTGGTTCTTTTGTCATGATTGATGATATACTGTATGTTAATATAAAACGGTTAAAGGATTCATGTATTAATTATAGACATGTTAAACTGTTTGAACCCCAAATGTTTTTCTGGGCCTTTGTGCAAAAAAGGTCAGTTCAGTGCTGTAACAGGAATATACATTTTTCTTATAAGATTAGGGTTTTTTTTACAGAAATGGTGATGTTAAGGGAGGTGTGTGTACACAATTTAGTACAGTAATTCTATTTTATTTACCCATAACATAAATTTTGATGACATGGTTGTGGCTGGGCACTGGTCATGGGATGGCTTCTCACATTGCAACCTTTGGTGTCACAGTAGTGGTACCTTTACTGACAACATTGAAGCATGCAACTGATTTGAGCTCACTGGTATTGTTATAAAAAAAAAACATCAAAACTTAACAGTGGTCCTTGTTGTTCTGTATTGAGGAGATGTTTTGTTCTCAGCCTTAACTTGTGGACCAGTTAACCAGACGATGTTTCATAGTGTGTGCTTGATATTATACCCAAGTGTTTTGAAGATTTGTCTACAAAATGTTTATTGCTTTATATTAATTGTTTCAAGATGCAGTATTAGTTTATTATACTATAGAGTGAAAGTTATTCATGAAAACCTAAATAACTGATAACAGAGTGTGACAAGAAACCTAGCTTTAAGAGTCAAAGAAGTAGGGATAGTTGAGTGCAGTGGCGGCCACACTCCCTCCAATATACTACAGTACAGTGTACACTATACCAAAAAAGGTTTACTAGTCTACTGTGTGTTGTACCTGCACAAGCTGTCAGGCATATATGATGCACTGTTTTATAAATAATTAATATGGGCTTGTTTGTTGGCAGGATGGTAGTAGCACAACGAGGGGTCATCCCACCCCCAAAACACTATGCCGACTCTGCTTGGTTCAAGTATATTCTGTCATGCTGTGCAGCTACCACAGCTGAGATGGGTAAGTTGCTTCCTGTAGAGGAGAAATTTTTTATTAATAAACTGTCGGTGAAAACCCATTATATTCTCACTACAGTATTATACATCCTGTCACTTGTAGAATCTCTCCTGACAGTAAATTCTTTGTAGACAGAGATAATAATTCAACCTTTTTTGTTTCTAAAATAAAAATAGAATTGGATTGTATAACTGTCACATGCAATGCTGTAAACTGTACCCATGTATATATAGTCCATCATGCAGTCTAGAAAAAGATACAAAGAATATAACATTTAGAAATAAGTAGAAGATATGGAATTGAAGAAAGTGTCAGTTAGAGATTGGATCTGACTCTGCTCAGGTGGTATAAACACTCTGAGAGATTGTGCTGTGGGAGATTGATAAAAAGATCATATACAGTAATTCAAAGGTTGGGTGGTAGGAGGGAGAGAAGACGAAGGAGATAGAAGGATTTATAGAGGGATGGTCAGCGATGTATATGAATGAGTGGAAAGAATGACGTCATTCGATCTTTGGGTAACGACTTGATGCTAATGGGTGATGCTGGTTTGTGTGATGTGTCAGTGTTAAACCAAATTTAGGCCTTTGTTGTGGATGGGGACGGAAGGGAGTACTAAAGCAGAACACATTTATTACTCTTATATGAATTAATGAGTACAATGGCAGTGTTACTCATGCCTGTTTCAGCTACCTCACAACGAAAATCATGCTCCTTGCCTGGCTGTGTATCACTTGCCACCTGTAGACAATTAAAAACTCCTGACTTTTATCATTTACCCTGCTAGAGTCCATGACAGGAACCCAAATCTTCTGGTTAATTTAATCTGATGCTGTATTTTATTTACATTAGCTTAAATACATAATACACGTACAGTCATCATTGACCTAACTCATAACTGATTCTTAGATATGTAATGGTGATAATATCCTGAGGTAAATGTGATATTTTTTTCCAGTCACATACCCCCTAGACCTTACCAAAACACGCTTGCAGATCCAGGGGGAGAAGGGACTGAATGGAAATGGCATAGTGAGTATTATTTATGAAATGTAAAGTATTATACAGTATTTCTTATTTCTATATGTTACATGACCTGACCCCACATATATCGAATTTGAACTCCTAAAAAAGGTCATCACATTATTTCAAATGCCAAGACAAAGGGGATTTGGATATGTTTTCAAATTATTAGTTTTGCTTAGAATCTCACCAAAAGTGAATTTGAATATACATTACAGTACAGGGTAATTAGAAATTTTAATTTTGGCTAATAATCATGTTAATTGCTTTTAAAATAACTTTGCTTAGAAAAAAAAGCTCTTGAATTGTGTGATAATACTTTTGCTGCTTTAATATGTCTCATGAATGTCACACTATTCTCTTTTCTTTCTTTATCACAAGCACCATCAGCCATACAGAGGATTAGCCAGCACTGGTGTCGGCATTATTCGAGAAGAAGGGATGCTCAGGTTGTGGCAAGGAGTAACACCTGCTGTTTATAGGTCAGAATTATAATTTTTTTAAGTAACTTCAAGGTAATTAAATTGAAAAAGGTAACAATAGCAATTCTTTACTTACCAGAATATTGTTTTCTTTGATACACCATGTTCTTGGTTTCTATAAATAACGGAGCATTTTTAACCAGAATTTACCATTTTGTTATGGGGTTTACTGTAGCTTATTGACTTGTACATGGTAGAAAAAAGGTTATTTCAGAATACATTACTGTACATATGTTAATTATATAAAAATTAAAAAAAAATTAAGACCACTTTGTCTGCATCTTTAGTTGACGTTGAAACAAGAGTAAATCGTGGTTGTAGAATATTTGAATGATTTTGATTTTGAGGTGAATAAATGAATGATGGCAATTGATAAAAGAGTCTACCGGTATGCAATGTATGTGCTCGAGAGTCCAGCCAACCTATTAATTGCAGGAAAAGCCCTAAAAGAGTGAAAAACAAAATTTTGAAACTTTTAATACATATTAATAGAGGAAATGTACTGTACAGTAGTTTTCGCTGTTGCTCTGTATTGAAACAGATGTGAGCCTATTTTAGCCTTATACAGTAAACCCTTTGGATAATGGACTAATTGGGGGAAGTCCATGGCCGCTAAAGCCGAGAATCTGTTAAATCAATTGTGCCATGACCCTTCATAATGTGTGAGAATGGTTGTTTATTGCCAGGCTATCAATAATTTTCTGCTTGTCTGTTATTCTTTATTGCATACAGTATTATTGTACAGTTCTTCCAGTTAGTATGTATGCTGTAAAGGACTATCGGATAACACCTAAGAAATAACGGTGACGTGTTTTATCCCGAGGGTTTGTGCAATAGGTTTAGGGTGTCCGTTATAATTGGGTTCTGTTATATATAGTGTCCCTTATACTGAGCATTTACTGTACTGTACTTGTTATATGTTTTTATACACAGGTGTAAGATTATTTGAACCCAGGTATGTGCAATGTGCTGGGATTTATATTTCTTTTATGTCCGCAGACACTTGATATACTCAGGTACACGGATGGTACTCTACGAGAAAGTACGTGACCACCTCTTCACAAGACGAGCCGATGGTACGAGGCCTGTCTGGTATGTTCCATCTCGATTTGTGAGATGTTCTTTGTCTCTAGTATTAGTAGTTTCATATAAACACAATTTTTTATTTCTTTAGTTTTGAGGAAAATAATGTGATTCTGTTGATTTGGGAAACAGGTTAATTATATACATTTATTAATTATAGTTTTTCATTTTATCCAGTGTGATTAATTTTTATTATAGCCTGTGTCTATATGCAATAATTTATAAATGTGTTGAGGGTATATTAACCCAAATGAAAAGGCTGGTAGAGGTGTAAGGGGAATGAGAGGCAAAATGAATGAGAAAATGTGCTTCACTGAGGGAACATAATTAAATTGTCATAAGCACTTAATAGTATGATGGTTATTATGTTGAATGCCTCTGGTTAGCCCCATCTACTAACAGGGCCAAGGTGTGATGGAATTAACCCCCCCATTTTGACATGTGCTGGTCACGGAAGATAAATGTGGTGAGATGGATCTGACCCACGGGTTATAGAGTGTACAGCATAGATGTAAATGTTTTGGTTTTCTTTTACATTTTTCCCTTTTCTTCATTTTCTTATCATCTTCTTCATCTCCTCCAATAAAATCTTTACAAAAAGTTAGAAGGCTTCCTTGTTTTCCCAATAGGCAAGCAATAGTGGGAGGAATCCTGGTAGGTGGTATTGCTCAGTTCCTGGCCTCTCCAGCAGATTTGATCAAGGTGCAAATGCAAATGGAAGGAAAAAGACGCCTTGAAGGGAAACCACCAAGGTGAGTCGATAGTTTTTCTTGGTTTGTCACTCTGAAAATCTGCATGAGATAAGTTGGTAATGAATTTAATGAATGACCGAGCCTTGGCAACAAAAGGGGATCTGTAACTCGGTAGAGTTCGCTTTGAAATTGAATGGTTATCAGATTCATTCCTAACCTGAGTAGAAGATTAAGTTCCTCCGATATTGGCCATAGTGTACTGAGCACTGTGAAAGAGTACTGTACATGATCATTTATGCTTGCCAATGGTGGAATACCCTTTGGTTGACTAACATCTGCCAAAGGTGACTCAATAACTGCTTAATGGTCAGAATCAGGAGATTTACACCTTTCCTGCCATCACAAAATGTAAAAAAAGGTCCACATCTCACATACAAATGTTTTATTTTATTAACTTAAAGAAAAAGAAAAAATATTAGTCATTCTCATTTGGAGTTGTGTCTCATTGAATTGGAATTGTTCATACTGAAATCCTCTGGCCCAATAGATTCTAATTTTCATTAACACTTATGCTTTATTAAAAATTACTCCACCTCTCCAAAATTAATGCTGTAATCTCACTGAACTTTTACCAAAAGAAACAGTTGAATGTCTAGTAAGGCCAATGGGCATATTTTTAAGAAGAATTTTAGGTCGATTTTAAATTTGAAGTCTTGAAAATTGTGTGTTCTGTCTAGTGATAACCGACATCACTTAACTATTTCTTGATTTAATCTTGGATTAATATTTTTATATGTTCTAGTTAGCAAGGTGAGTTCTGATGGACATTATGATGATAAAGAGTATGCACCTTTACTTATAGCCAGCTAATTGTTTATACCTACCTACACACTTTTCTGTACTGTAATGCAGCAGGTGACCTGGCAGGTGTTGATCCTTTAAGTTTTGCCATTCATTCAGTAGTTCTGTTGGCAGGACTATCACAAATCACTGGATTTTCCCTCAGAGATAGACTGGGATCTCCAGGTTCATTCCTTGGATGGTTTGGACATACTGATTAAAAATATTAAAATTTTTAACATAGTTTGTGCTCAACTGAATGTTCTAAGCCCATGTTATTCACATGTCCTTTACTGTACTATTATTTATTACATTTGCTTAGCCATTTACTTACCATTGAAATTTTTTCAGAATTCACAGTGCTGGTGAAGCATTTGTAAAGATCTACAATGCAGGAGGTCTGCGTGGGTTGTGGAAGGGATGTATGCCCAATGTATATCGCTCGGCATTCGTCAATTTAGGGGACCTTACCACCTATGACTCAGTAAAGAGATATTTTGTAAGCTCTTGGGGCTTGTCTGATAATTATTGGACCCACGCCTTGTCTAGGTAAGAGAATCATGAATTTCTGTTCAAAATATTTCTCCTCTGCTTTCCTTTCTCAGCTTTATTATTATTACATTTTTGCATTTTTTTTGCAGTACTATTTTTCATTATTTCCAAAAATCATTCGAGTTTGAAGGTAATATTCAACAGTAATCTGTACTAACTTGATAATACAGTGTAAAGGCTACTGAGTTTGAATTTTACCACAATTACTGTAGACTAAAAAAATTTATAATGAATTCCACTAGAGCTCTTGGTTATGATTTCATAATACGGTATATACTATACTTGAAGCACCTTTTGTTGACGTTACATGATACAGTACAGTAATAATAAGTATCATTAATAAATTCAATTACAGTACAGTACAGCAAACTTAGATGCATCCCCAAAATAATGACTTTTTGAAGGTAAAGATGGAAAAATGTGATTAAATTAAAGAAGAAGAAGAAGAAGAAAGATTAGGGGAAGGATGTGCCTGTATGGATCACATCAACTGTCTATTAATTGGGAATATATTGGGATATATTGGAAGAACATTAGGTTTACATAATATAATAATAATTTAGAAAGGTCTTTTATATTGGGGGATAATACAGAAATTATTATGTTTAATTTATGTTTCATGACTTCAAGTAGTGGATGTGAGGAAGTATGTGTGGATGTATCTGTCTGTTGTGGAGTCCAGCCTCTTCCTGTTTCCTTCTACCCTTGTCTTGCATTACACCCATTAACATTTTCTCCTGTAGTTTGGATTTCTTTACCTATTAATGCACTACACACAACAGAAGGTGAGGGCCAAAATAAAGATGATAGAGAGAGAGAGAGAGTATGGACAATGGTGGAAGTTTTAAAAATTGTAAAAGAATTCTACTGAGCAGAGCTTATATGACGTGTAACAGGATTGAGTGAGCGATTCAAAAATAGAATTGGAACGCTGTAGTACAAAAAATTTTCTGCTTTATCACATATCTTTAAATAATGGTAAGCAGTGCATGATTACTTTAAGATTCTGGTAATAATTGAATCTGCGTCCTAGTGTACACAGAGGAAAATTTAGTTGATCTTGGAAGTATTTGACCAAGTAGTACTGTACAGTATAGGATTATATGAGTCCACAACTAAGGTATAAGATGTGTGACCAGAGTAGTACATGAGTTACAATAAATATAAACCAGGAGTAAATCATACAGAACAAAGCCTGCCTGTCTAGCCAAGCTGAGGATATCCATATTCACAGCTGGGACTAAGTCTGTGAATCCCGTAAAACTGTTGACGCACTCGGGCCACAATTTATGCCACACACCATTCAGGCAAATTTCTGAAATCTCTTCTCATGCCTTGCCAATGTTGTTTATTGCATGAAGAATATTGAAGCCACGCCAATATTCTCGGATCGTAGGTTTATTTTCTCCGTCTGTAGCCTTGAGCAGCTGGGCAATGGTACGGCATAAATAATACGCCTTGAATGCGGCGATGACGCCTTGGTCCATAGGCTTCATCAGTACTGTCGTGTTGGGAGGCAGGAATACACCTTTTACACTGTCGTGCAAGTCGTCGAGTAGGGAGGATGAGCTGGAGCATTGTCAAGGATCAGAAAAATTTTGAAGTCAAGGTTTTCCTTGGCACAGTATTCCTTCATTGCAGGGACGGCGTACACGTTTAACCACTGGCTAAATATGGCACCTGTTATGCAGGCCTTCTTGTTTGCCTTGTAAATGACAGGAAGGTGATCCTTAGAGTAACCTTTCAGGGCCCGTGAGTTAACAGCGCGAGAAATCAGTATAGGCTTCAGCTTGAAGTCGCCGGCAGCGTTCGTGCCAAGCATCAGCGTCAAGCGGTCTTTTGCCGCTTTAAAACTTGGCTCTTTTTTCTCCTCCTTGGAGATATAGGTCCTCTTGGGCATCCTCTTCCAAAAGAGACCAGTCGCATCCACATTGAAGACTTGTTTCGATGAGTAGCCTCCTTCCTGGATAATCCGTTTGAATTCTGGCGGGAATGTCTCGGCAGCAACCGTATCTGAACTGGCAGCTTCATCAGTCATCTTAATATTGTGGAAGTTATACCTGCACTTAAATTGTTGAAACCATCCTCGGCTGGCCGTAAAGGTCTGTTCTTTCGATCCTTCACCCTCTTCTTTATTTATGTCGTCAAAGAAGGATCCGGCCTTATGCTGATAAGGCTCACAGGGGCATTGCGTTGATTCTGGTCCTCCATCCACATTGCCAGCATCTCTTCCACCTTGCATCTCTTCCACCTTCTCTATCACAGTGCTTCTAGTACGAGTTGTTTTAGTTGCACTGAGAGTAGTACCACTTCCAGCACTAACCTTAATCTTGTCAGCGTTGGTCCGGATAGTACTCACCGTGTTGGGGGTTAGACCAAGCACAGCGGCTTTGTCCACAGCACGTTCCCCTTTTTAAAATCTGGTTAATACATCCATTTCTGTAGCCAGGGTAATGGTCTTACATTGCCTCTTCACTACACTAGCATCAGTAGCACTTGATGGGTGCTTGGAAGCCATTTCAAATGGTTAGAGTTCAGTTTAAGAGCAAAAGCACTTAAGCACACACGAATGATGTGAGTCGTAACAGAGACTGGCTTGGTGACGCTGTGACGTTCCGCGAGTGAGGGCAGCGCTTCGAGCCGAGAGAGCGTAGTACGGCCAGACAAGAGCTGGTGATGTGCTGTAGAAAGTTGTCCGTGACCATGCAAAACGACGTAGTATCGGATCACCGGGACGTTAAACGAATTTTTGGTCTCGAAAGCTTAGCGACATACTACCGAAACAACATTAAGCGGAACGATGTTATACGAGGATACACTATATTTTGTGAGCCTTATCCCTTTAATATATAATTTCTTCTTTTATAGGAGAATATCATATTTAAATTCATCAGTACTAAATAAAAAAATATAGTACACTCTTTCTTTCATACTGCATTTATAGTCTCAAAAGCTCAATGTTCATTCACTATATTACCAGTACTGTACTGTACTGTATTGTAACAGGAATTTCAGTGACTATTTAAATGGTATTAAAAGCTATTTAACCTGTAAAGTCTTTGTATACAGTGCAGTATGCTCAAACTCTATTTAAAATATAGCAATACTTTGATGCCCAAAGTTATGTGTTACAGTTTCATCTGATTTTTTGTTTTGATAGGCTCAGAAATATTTTATTTCCTATCTATGAAGATTAATTAAAAACTTTGTTACACTTATATTAGTGCATGAATGAAAGTCAAAGCTGATATTATATAATGATCAGACAGCAGTTAATTGTTGGCTATTGTTTATTCAAGTCTTACAAATTACAGTACAGTACAGTACTCTACTTTTATGAGATGTTAAACAGCCAGACTGAAAAAACTGTAAGCTACCACTTTTAATATTGCTGTTTGTGACCTTAAGAAAAGTATTATCAGTTTGGAATATATCAGGAGGACACCCAGAAGTAGTACTTGCTTCACTCTTAATTGTATGGGAAGATTAAGGCATCTAAACATGAGATAAGTCATAAATGAAAGTACTAGACATTTGTGACTTATTCACATAGGAACCAAAGAGGATTGATAGGCTATGAAGGATGATATGAAAGCTAATATATTGGATGAAGAAGTCTTTGAAAAAAGATGTTTGGATGAAAATATCTTAAATTGTAAATTCAACGACGCCCAGCTACCCCTACTCATGTATCACCACCACCGCTTATATTTGCCCAGTGTGACTTGACCAATCATGAGGTTTCTCTTATTTGGCCCTGTTGCAAAATTGAAGTGAACAGTGTATAGTTCCCCTCTAAAAGTAAATGCACAGGCTTGATAAATTAATAAACTTGTAAATTCTTCCCACAATATTGTACAATGGAAATAAGAGAGGGGAAAGTTGACTAAGCTAAGCTAAGTTATTAAAGTTAAGGAAATTATCAGTGGACTATTGTAAGTGATGAAGATAGAATGAGTGGAGGTGACACTAATGGATGAATTTAGTGAACAAAAGTGAATACCTGTACTGTACTTAAGAAATTTGCAAGCTCTGTGGCAATCTTGATTCTTTTTGTAATGGAATTGAATGAATTTCTTGAGGATGCACCTGGACCACAACAATCAGTCTGGAATGGAATAAGGTAGATAGATGTAATTGATGGATAGAAAGCCAGGTTGTATCGGACTTTCACCACATTGACAAGCAAATAGGAAAAAGAGATACTGTAGATCACTTTTTACCCTAATCTAAACATTTGTTGAGTGAGTGCAGCATATGTGGACTAGTATTGTTGTTACAGTGCGTGCTCAGGGCTGATAGGAGCTACTATGGGCACCCCCGTGGATGTAGTCAAGACCCGGGTTATGAACCAGCCGACTGACAACAGGGCCAGGTGGGTGTGACTCAACCACCTTAGCCTGAAAAGAGCCCTATCATCGTACTTTGGACCGGACTAAACTTTACTTACTGGGTTAGCTAAAAGACTAGATGTTAGGCTGAACAGCTGAATCACAGTACAGTATACTTAATTATTGAGATTTAAAAGATAAATTTTATAAAGTGTGCAGATGTGTTGCCTTGATAACAAAACATTTTCCCTTGTTCTGAGAAAAGATAACTTAATATATCTTATATTTAATCACTTTTTTACAACTTCGTACAGTTTAGTAAGATGTCAGCTGGGGTGCAAAAAGGTTTACTTGTTCTGGAGCCTTATGTAAAAGAATGATTGTCTCTCTGCACAACCTTTGATAGTGATTCACCTCAACCCTTCCTACCTGCAAAATTAACCTCACATCTCATGGGTGTTTCTAGTTGATCTTTTCCATACATTTCAACTATGGAAAGTTAACAAAGGGTAGATACTGTATACATAATGATCAACCGAAAATGGAGATATGATCATCAGATTACTGTACGTACTTGCCAAAGCTATGTATGTACTGTATGTCTCTGTGACTGACCTAAACTGCTCAACGTTGTGGAGGGAGGTTTATGGTACATTTTCTAATAATGAACAAACAAAACAAAAATAGGAAATTGAGTGACATTTGGTTTGGTTATCTAGAAACTTGCTGGGACTGTACATTGGTCAAGTACACCAGTGCCAAAACTTCCTCTTTCCTTTACTGGTTTTTGTTAAGTAACTTCCTGCAAACTGATTTAAATTTCTTAAAGGATATATTTAGGATCTGTAAGAAAAAGTGGGTTACATGTAGGTATCTTTGTGCCTGTTGTGGTGGTCATACAGTACTTTCCCCTGCTGAATGGGATGTGGATACTGCATCTGTACTTAGCTTCTATTTTATGAAAGATACATTAAAGGTAGCTTTTCTCTCAACATAGGAGAGACTTCTTTGATCAGGACTACATGATAGAGAAAGAATATTTTGATTCAGCTTGTTCCTACCATTTTATCTAGTTTTTTTTTAACTTCCGTAAGTTCTGGGGACTTATAGGATTTCCAACAAACATTGCATCATTTTCTCAAAACAACTTGGTTAATTCACCTTAGATGCATTTGTTGTTGGTAGTCCTAAAAGTTAACTAAAGACAAGGTATGGGTTCTGGAAGCAGGAAGTACATGTATTAGTATTATTCGTCTTACAGCGCATGTTCAGGGCTGGTGTCTGCTGTTTTGGGTTGCCCAGCTGACGTAGTTAAGGCCAGGATAATGAATCAGCCGACTGATATAGAAAGCAAGTAAGTTTGATTTAAGGAATGATAAAGGTGTTCTTTGCAGTGATTTTGTGAAAATGAATCTTGTGTGAAACAGTTTCTAATAACCCCTCCATAACTCCCCTTTAAGACATACAGTACTGTCCCTCGTCTCACTTGTATCCTTATCTCAACTAATAAGGTATCAGTTTTACAGCCATATTATGGGCCAGTTTACACCCACTTACATGCCATGCTTGGTTTTATTTTTCATTTATTCTCGTTAGGTCTTTTTTTCCAGTAATGATGTGTAAGTCTTTAACTTATATGAATTACTGTTACAGTACATCCCAGATTACACATACCCAGATTAACACTCAAGGATTTTTCATTCATGTGCTGTGAAATCTTTCAATAAGTATGATAGCCACAATTCCCTTCACCCCCAGTTGTTTTTGATGGTTCTAATACTGAACATGGTTATTTTTAAAAAAAATTTCGAGTTGCGTTGATCAAGTAAAATGTACACTCTCTGATAGCAGTGTTGTTCATGAAGTTATTATTATGTATTGAGACTTTATTGGTGAGGCTTAGATACTTGTGTTTCATAGCAGCTGCATCATAGATTGAAGCGTTACAAACTTTGCAGTCCTCCTTATCTCACCACCGGTGGGCCACTAACATTCTGCTGTGTTCCATTGCATATCCACTTGTGCTCTAACACAGTTTCAACACTCCTCCAACACACATGAACCTCTTCAGTACATCCCCAACAGTATTCCACAAGATCAGCAGTCTTATAACACCACTCAAAATATCTTTTTAATTATTCCTGTTTTTGTAACAAAGATTTAACTATCAGTTTCAACCAGTCATTGGATTCTAGGATTATGAGGCTTCACTTTAAATGACTGAATATATTTTGCAGATGTAGAAGATGGGGGATTTAATTTTATGTAATCGGCTTTTCCATCCTCTGCCAATCTAATGATCCTATAATATCAGATGACAAATTTAATTGCCACATTTTAATAAAAAAATAAAAACGAGTTACTCAATTGCCATAGTGACAGACATTAGGAACATTTAAATGATAGTTTACACTTACAGTATTATCATCTAATTCATTTATGTAAAGTTTACACTTACAGTATTGGCATCTAATTCATTTATGTAATTATTATAGGAAATGTCTACTTAAATTTTCTCTAACTGATAGTAAGAAATTTTGCAGCTGACATGTATGGCCAATATATAAAGGGGAGCCTTATTGTAACATCTAAGTGAAGCCACTGTATCTTGTACCTCATGTGCTAGACCTCTTGTTTAGTACAGTAAAGAGTACAGCTTCATGAATAGTGGGAATACTATTTGGACACCATGCAAGGATACAGGTAACTTAGATGATACTTTGTCACCAGTCTTCATTTGCAATATTTTTCTACAATTTTTGAGACTTTTATGTATGATTTTTATATTAAAGTCAAGTCAGCAGAAGAGATGACTTTTGATGACTTGATCTGACCAGTTGAGGTGAGTTTGTTGAGTGGTGTTTCCTAACAAGTACTGTAGTGTTTAGTTTTCCTACATGCATTTATCCCTTATTATCAAATGTGTTTTGCACGAGAGGATTCTCACTGAGCCAAGAATTTCTCCACGTTAGTTTTCACTTGATTATTTTAGTTTTTCCCTAGAAAACTTATTATAATTATTAGTTTCCATTATCATTTTTTTTTCATGTTACGCCTGCATGTGTACCAACAATGATTGAATAGAATTCCAGGAACTCATAAGAGGTTAGATTACTTGTACACACTAATTAATTATTCTATGGGTTGTATTTATGCTGTACAGTAAGTGTATGGTAATATTTTTTGTAATGTAAAGTTGTTCACTGATAATGGATTTAGATTTGTCAGTATATCTGGTATTCATAAGGTTTTTCATCTGAAAGCAATGTCATCATTGAAGATGATGTTGCAACAAGATAAAAGCATGTGGATGTTTGTAGTTTATTGCTATGTAAATAACAAGCTGTATTAATTACATTTGACATCAGGATATTTTGTGTTTCCTATTATTGTTAGGCTGTTTGCTTCATCATATGAGAATTGCCAGTAGAATTGTGTTCAGGAAGTGAAATCCAGTTTGTGGTTTCTTTGTAGACATTTCTTTTAAACTAAAACTTTAAATATGCCATGAAAGTTATTGTTAAATATTGGGATTTAAATACTGTGTGTGTGGACATTATCATATCCATTTGTTGTTTAGGACAGGATGACAAACATTTTACATTTTCACAGGGGTCTGCTGTATAGAAATTCTTTGGACTGCTTAATGAAGACTATCCACAATGAAGGCTTCTGGGCACTTTACAAAGGATTCATCCCATGTTGGCTACGCATGGGACCCTGGTCACTCACATTTTGGTTGACATATGAGCAGATCAGAAATTTGAGTGGCACGTCTGCTTTCTAGGTAATGAGTCGTGCATTCTGAGTGTTATGAAATTGGCTGTGGTGCTGATTCTGTATCCACGTTATAGCTTACCTCATCAAGTACAGTGCAAGTCCAATAATCTGGCACCCCAGGGTAAAGGAAGGGAGGGTGCCGGACCATCATATATGCCGGATTATTGGATGTTATCCCTTGGTCTTCACAACCTCTAGATGCTTCCATTTTCACATTTTTTATAGGATACACTGCAGTAAAGGTTTTGAACATATTGTAAAGTCGGGTAAATGTTACAATTACTAAACATAAGGTGTATAATAAATTACGATACTGTAATAATGTATCGATAGTTTATTGTACAGTACAACTTGCCAATTGTCTCGCAGCTTTTTCGTGTCGGACAATCGGCCCTTCCGGACCACTGGACGCCAGACTTACGGTCTTTTACTGTACTGTGGTGTGATCAGCAAAATTTTTAATATTTTATGATATGAAATAAAATACAGTACAGTACTGTATATGAATTTAAATTACCATAGACTCTAGATGACCATTGCTTGTGAAATAAAGAAAAATTGGTTGATATCCAAACTCATGTATATTTCCAGGTTAATAGAGTTATTGTTTTTACAGGCCCTGTTAGTGCTTCTGATGATGACATTGTGAATGAAGATGTGAATATTGTATATGAAGAGGGCTTACCTTCCTGTTGTCATAGTTCTTCAAACTCAAGTGAATGACAAATTACTTTAAATTCAACTCATTTATTTCGCATGAATGAATTGGATTCAGTTTCCAGATACAATCCCCAACCCAGAGGATCAGTTACAGCAGGTTGCACTTGAATTACTGACAAGTGGATATATCATATAACTGGGAATTAGTACATTTTTCTTGGCATACAATTCCTTTGCTCATGATTTTTCTTCCACATATTAAAAAATATTGTGCAAAGTATTGTATAGATATTTACAGAAAGTTTATTATTTAGAATAAGGCAAATTTTGCCTAGTTTATTTAACACTGGATAGGTTTCATTTAAGCTTTTAACAAACAGAAGGAAATTGTTAATATCAGACTCATCACTATACATGCCTAATATTATTCTCTCAGGCCTTATTACTACAGGAGTCAATATTCCTGTTTGTACTGCTATTGTTGATGTTCTGTAATAAGTAATTCATGGTAAAATCTCAGATGTCAAAATATATTACTGTATCATAGATCATTTTATAAGAGTTAGTAGCAGTAGTTGTGAAGTCTGATACTACAATACTTGTGGACCACATTGTTTATACCTGCAACACACAGTTAATAATTTTATGTTGTGTACAATATATGGTGATGTGGAGAGTTGTATCATAAGCTGGTCTCATGTGACAGTCTACAAATATTCATGTATGTGTATGTGTGTAGTTACTAGCACACATGTTAATACAGTAAACACCTGCTATATAAACTAAGCCTGTCTTGAATGGCTTGTTAATATGTCTATCATAGGCTTGTAGCTTAAGAACCCGGGAAATGATGTGGTTGTGTGTCCCAGTTTATGAATGGACTTGAGATGAATGGGTCGAGCACATAGTGTATGATGCTCTGGTTCAATAGCTCCCAACCTTTTTAGCACCTACAGTTTCTTATGAACCCTTCTTAAAGGACTAGGGCTTTGGTGATGGAGAAGGTTAATCTGTGGATTATGCCCCAGCTGTTTTGTGTTGGAGCTTCTATGGGTTCCTATGCTCTGAGCTTATAATGGGTATATTCACAAGTCAGGCTGTCTAATCTAGGTTAGAAACTGGGATTTCAGGATCTGTCCTTCATATATGGCAGCATGAATATCACAGTTGAAATAAACTAATTATGGAAAGTATCTTTATATATCAGTGGGTGATCACAGTTTACACAGTTTATGGCAAATCCAACACACTTACTCACTGAGTTATAATCACTTTGGTTGTAGCTGCCTGTGGATGTTTCAGCTGTGATGACATAATCATAGTTCACTATCTCAAAGTTTAATTACATGCTGTATATGATTTTAAATTTTACTTTAAAATAGTTTACTATATTTAATACTCATTTTAAACCAATAAGAATTAAATATATTACATTAAAGTAATTTAGTTGCCTCCTACTGGAAGTATATATCGTCTAAACTGAAATAACAGTCGGTTAGATCACAAGAAGTCTTCATCTAATAGTTTTTTTTAGATTAGAATTTAAGGTTTCTCAAATTTCAATGATAGTACAGTTCAATGCAGTACTGTAATACTGTAGCTACATTCCAGCGGAAAAAGTGTTCTACCTTATTGACTCCAGGTATAGTACTTAATTAATTATGAATATGAAAACTATTAAATACTGTATTATATACTGTCAGATATTTTAACAGCAGAAACATTACTCCAAACTATCCAACCACAAAGCATAGACACGGTGAGCCTGAGGAATACAACTGACTTGCTGGAGTCCAGATTCTCAATAATTTATAGAAACAATAATTATTCCTTGTAGAGATGTAAAATTGCCCCTTTCTACTGAACTTAACTAAGCTAAACCACCCAAAATACAATCTTATACCACTACTCACACAACCATCTCCCACAGTTCAACCTTTTTGCCTTTTGCTCATACCACCACCTTCAAACTTACAACACTACTCACACATGCTGCTGGGGTTATCATCTCAGGCTCTCCATGCACTCCATTGTCCCAGGAGTAAGCTCCTTTGTGCACCAACCACTAGTTCACGTCATACATGGACCACTCTGATTCTCTGCACATTCATTACAACAGCCAACTTTGAGGCAATTGATAGAAATGTTTAAATTAATGAAATTGTATAATTTTCTTATCTTTAGACAGCAAACAAGACACTGGCTGATAGCTTGTGGATGGGATGGGTCTCATGTTAGCCCACAGATATAGGGTTAAGTGCCACCTGTGTGTAGATTTCATGGTCTTGTTATGCAACCCTGAATTTTCCATAGGATTAAAGTCCATAAGTAATGCAGTCTGCTATATCACATCTACTATTGAGTCACCCTTACTACACTATAGCAGGGGCTTACTGTATGGTAATGAATTTATAAGTGTCACCTGATTGTCAGATATTAGGCAACACAGTTTTATTGACTGCATCAGTCAATTATGGGATGGGAGTAAATTTTCTGCTGGGTCCAGTGAGACTTCATGTAAGATCATCATCATGTAAGTGGTGAGTAAGAGATCTTTCACATAAGACACTTTTAGTTGGTTGTCTACACGTAGTCAGTTCAGGACCTTTGAATAGCTGTTTTAATTGTTATTATAGTTGATCTCTATTGGTATATGAATTCTTAAAATTTTAGCTTTATGCAACTATTATGGACTGTGTGTATGTCTCAGGTGTCACTTGTGACAAATTTCTCAATTTTTTTTTATTATTTGTTTATTGTTAATGATGAACCATATCATTTTACTGGGTGGATTATCCAAAGCTTCCCACAAATACTTTGTATTCCACCAATTTCCTGTACAACTTTTGTATATCATTCTGTTTTGAAACAACTAATTCCTATCTTACCTGACTTCCACTCTCCTTATGTGTACGATATATGAATGGTCATTCCCAGTTCCTCATTCTTCACTGTCATCCACTTCTAAATCAACTCATCCTTTGTGCTATCTTTTCAATATGGTGAAGTTGTTCTGTCGTATTTTGAAACTTGTAATCCAGTAAACCAAGGAAGTGGGAGGGTTGTTGTAATACTGGATCAAGAATGCAAGAAGCTGGGTTAAATTTTTAGTTGTGAACAGAAGTTGTAGTGGTTACTTCCCCACATTATCTTGCTACAAGTTACTAAAGTAAGGGACTTTGCCTTTCCATAAGAACTTCTGGCTGGTCTCACTCATTCAGGAAATGATGCCACAGGTGCTACCTCTTTGGGAAGCTTTTTCAATGGACATCAGTGAAGTGGGTTTACTTCTTCCCTGAAGAAGCTAGATAACCACCTTGCTTTGAATATAGGAAGTATTGTAGGCAATGTAGAACAATGGAAAGAAGCTAGAATAAGCATAGATGCCTGGCTGCTGTAACTTGCTATAGTACATGTATATGCAGAATTGGTTTCCTATCATCCAGTTATCCTGGACTAGTTTACCTAGCTCGTCACCTGAGGGCTGCCACCTTCAGTAAGAAACAATGTAAACTGAACATTAAGTTGCCTTCGCAGCATACAAAGTTTATACATTTTGGAGAAGAAGCATATCTCCTTAATATCTATTCAATAGCTGATTTTTCCAACAAAATCATAATGAAAGTTTAGATCCATAATAGATTTCATCATTAACTCAGAAATTTGAATGTTAATTTTTGAGGTCAACTTTAGTATCAGTAGAAATGTAATGGCATTCAGTAATGTAGGCTACATAAAATGTAGCTGAAGGTATTGGCCTTGTGATAGTCACCCAAACAATGCAAGTGTTAGTCACTAGAAGATAAACTATATAAATAAGATAGGTTATATAAAGATATCCTAGAATTGTATGAAAGCCTCAATTATCAAATATCAGTGTTTATTGCTGTTGTAAATATTTCTTCCCTCTAGGACATTTCAGTAAGCACAATGTGTGTCATCAAGAAGAGCTCCCATCATGTTAATTTTAACCTACCAACCATATTTGTCATTTATTTTTCACATTTTCTTTGGTTTGACAATTGTTAGCATAAGTTATTGTAAGATGTTGTGTTTTATATATTTAAACTATAAAATTACAGTAATAAGATTAGGAGGGATAATTTACATGAATTTCCTGTTGGTAGGTTAATCATGACTTATGTTTTGGATATAAATGTACCCAGCCACAATAATAAAGCATCAAGGATAGTGAAGACAGTAATTGAGGCTTCCATACATTATATAAATTGTTGCCAAATAGATTTTTCTTCAATCTCATCATCCAGATATGTATCAATAATGAAGAAGTTTATTCATTCATGAGATGGGGAGAAAAAGCTTCAATCTAGTTTATGCCTCAGTCTCTCTCAGGTGCCATACATGATATGAAATCTTATTGCATTTAAAATCCACAAAAGAATTTAGTACTGCATGAGCTTCCTGTTGAGAATATCAAGGTCCAAATCTGTAAACTGTATTTTTTTACTTTTTTACATGCAAAGACTGTGCTTCAGTTTAGCCTTGAAAATCAAGGATAGTAATTCTGATATCCTTCACACTTCCTGAACGATGAGCTGTCCATGATGCAGTATCAACGCATTTGAAGCCTCTGTTAGACTTGCAAACCATATACAGTACTGTATATTAAACTGGGGGGTCACAAGATGCATTACAAATTCAGACTCGGTTGACTGGAATTTTTACCCTCTGAAGCTAGACAGAAAGGATCAGAGGAAGATTTGGCATACAAGGGTGGAGGTGTGCAGATTTTTTTTAAATGAAGCATTGTTTTAATTGCACTTTAACAAAGAATTGTTTTTATTATATAATAAACCCTGTTGTGTAATGCTGTCTTGTTATGATGCACTGATCTGCACATATCCTTTCCAATTGTCAAATCAAGGCCTTAGGAAATTGCTATGTAATCATAGTGATTGGGAGCATAAGATTTTGGATAGAAATTAATTATGAGTTACCATGATTTATCTTGAGAATAAAGATGTTAAGTTTTTGTGTACCGGGTAAGTATTTTGTGAGTTGGTTACAAACTTGGCTTTTGAGAAGCCATTTTTTTTTATCAAATTAATTTTCATTGCATGTTGTCTCAGGGTCCAAAATTTGTTTAGTGTAGTATAGTTAATGTATGATTTTGAGATAGAAATAACTGTATAGAAAAGGTTTTTTTTTTTAATTTATCCAGAATATCAATTGAAAAATGTATTCATGTGTCATAGTAATTGTCATTGGTGCTCTTGCTATACCTCTTTTATCATAATTTACTTGCAAGTACCTGTTACTGAGGCAAATAAATTTTGCATTTTCTAGTACAGTAATGAATAAATAAATGCTTTTTACATGATTTTTAAGGCATTTTAGTATTGAAACTTACAAAAAGTACCCATACCTGTTTAATATTTTGATTTACTGCCAGGTGCAGTAACACTTCAACTTTTTAGAAAGTTTTCAGGTAAACTGCTGTAGCATCTCCAAACACTCCTCACCATGTTCTTCTTTTTTACATGTATTCTGCTGCATCTTGGATATCAGTTTTCTAAATTTTTAGTACATTTTTCACCCCATACTTGCACCTTCTTGGCTTTCCCCTCTCCTTCCAGTACAGTACTTGCCCCACATATTGTTGTCACACCTCACAACTGTCCAAGTTACTTTTCTTCATCACTACTTATCTCTCCTTTCTTTGCTTTCTCATTACAACCGTCTAGACATGTGAGTATTTTTTTGCTCTCTTTTCAATTTGATAAAAGGTGTACAGAGGGTGGTGTTACCTCTTGAGCTGTTGATACCACATAAGGTCTGTATCACATTAATGTTCCTCAGTATTTGATATTATGTTCAGGTTTGCAAAATTGGTTATCATAAAATGATCTTAAAAAGGTCAGACTGTTTATAATTGGTTTATTAATATCACTGTCTTTAGAGACTAAATTTTACAGCTGTTCATTATTGTCTAGTTGACTTTATGATAAGGCTATGAGAGAGATTACACTGAGGTACAGCTATATTATAGCATCATTATGTGGACAACGGTATAAAAAATTACAGCCAGCCGAGGTCTAAATAAGATTTTTTAATTAATTCTTTAACTGTGTTCCGTTTTTTAAGTTGTGTGAATAAATCAGAATGTTGTATGATAATGTTAGGGAAAATGTTACATATTATTTTTCAGGACGTTGTAAATAGTACTGGTATTTATGGTACTGTATATATAGTACAGGTACAACCAACACTATCCTGAAGTTAATTGTTTGAAAGGATTATAAATACCTCAATTTTCCACAATTTTGTCTACCTAAATACAGTTTATCCAGAACCGGATGTCTTGTTGGGAAGAAACATTGTAAAATTTTGGGATAATCCACATGTTGATTAAGCTGAGAAGTGGAATTAAGACATGTGAACTAAGTGTGCGAATATACTAAAATCTCCAGTGGCTGTTCTACTTGTTGAGGGCAAAAAGTACTCTGAACTTCCTTTGGTACTTAGTAGCTAACTCTTGCAACGGTTAAGTAAAGCAGACAAATAGGTAAAATGGAACAAGGTTCATGCTGTGTCTAATGTGAATTCAGGAGGCATTGCTGCTTACCAGGATAATTGTGCTCATGTATAAATACCTTTTTTCTCTGATAGCTTAGACTGACCAGACCTGATAATTAACATCACATAATATTTTATGATGTATCCATTTTTTTAAACAAAACTTATTTTATATGGGCTGAACTTGAAACTATAGTTTTCTAAGATTTATAATTCAATGGCTCATACACACGAGTGTCTGGAAAAGAGCTTATATTTTGCAGGCTTGAAAATAAGTTGTCATCGCAAGCAGAAGACTAATAATTATGTAAGGAATAAAGTGCCAATAGAAAATTATCCTTGAAATTCACACTACAGTAATGGGAGAATCTGTGAATGACAACTACTACAGTACTGAAATTATTTAAGGTAAAATATTGGTGTCTATTGTAACTGTATTTTAGTATCTTGCAAGTGATAGACAATAAATATTTTTATGTAAGTGTTTAGGAGTTTCTTTGAATTCCTAATATGGTGCTGGAGGTATTGTTTTCTTATCTAATGGAGATAAGAACACTAAAGGGTCTCTTCTCTCTGTCTATGGAATAAAGTTGGGAATATTTTTACGGAAATTTTTTTTCATGTACCGTATTAAAATTATTGTACATAGAAATTATAATATATTTTTAAGATTGAAATAAAAAGTTGGTATATCCTAAGAGTTTGACCTATGTGGTGATGATGCACTTAAAAGCTAAAATAACTACATGCTACATTATACAGTAGTCTAGGAGGATGGCTGACTCGGTGTTAAGTTTTTGAGCCCCCTCAATGGTAGTGTAGCGTACTGTATGTGGCCAGTTGTCAATTCTCTTTAGTTGTCTATTATCTCTTTGTATGGGCACACAAACGTACGTACATGTAGATATCTTCACTCAGGAATGAGGTAGGATAGAAACTCACTATGCGCTTTCTGTATATATATATATATTGTTGTACAACGCAGTGCTTAGGAGTAACTAGGTGAGGAGCTGTGAGAGATGTTGCTGGTCCAGTAGCCGAGTGTAGAATGCTCTCCCTGGACAGGCATGGCTGTATTTATACAATTTACGAGGATCAGGATTTGGGGTGAGCGTAGCAAGAGGACCAATCACAGCGGCTTAAGCGTTAGGTGTGGCACGCTCTGATCCTGAACTGGAGGTTGATGGTCGAGACTAAGTCGGCGATCGTACCCCTACGTCCTCTGCATAGACCTAGTCTCTCGGCGTAGCTGGCTGTACACTGATTGGCTGGTAGGCGCGCACCGGAGCTCAGTTGGAAGTTGTAGGGGAGAGGAGCCACTACAGTAGCTCGCTTTACACAAGTCTTACACCAATGCACTTCATAGAAAAGTAATATCTCCGTAAGCCAAAGTCCCTCAAACCTAAAACTCCAATAGCTGGAATTGTGTATACTAAGCACTCAAACCTCGGCCACGACTATTCAGCTGAATCGTCCCATTAAGCCTTTATGATGTATGGATCTTCCACAAGGATTGCAGATGATGGGAACAGAACTTAGATAAGTGCAAGTTTGGTAAGAAATGAAGTTTGTTACACGGTTTTTGAGGACAGAGGTGCAGAAATTTGTCAAATTGATTTACCAAAGATGCTTTGGAAGGCAGTGATGCAAGTTGCTCATGTAAGATTGCTTGAAGGATATTTTGGTGTAGGAGAAACGAGTAGTAAATTTAAAGAGAATTTCACTTGGCCAGGAATGAATGAATGTTAGTGGAGATTCATAGGTTCTCTCAAGCTTGTGATCTTTGTCAGCGAGTGGTTCCAAAGGGAAACGTTGGCAAGGTTCCCTTGGGTGAGATGCCCCTGTTTGATACTCCTTTTAAGCAGGTTGCAGTAGACATTGTAGGACCAAGCAACGTTAACAAATATATACTGACCTTTGTTAACTATGTTTCTCGTTATCTCAAAGTCATAGGAATTGACACTCAACGGGTAGCAGAGGCTCTTCTGGACATCTTCTCGAGAGTTGGAGTATTGGAGGAATTAGCCTTGGATCAAGGGACACAGTTTACATCAGAGATGATGAGGAAGGTAAGATGACTTCTTTCTGTTCATTTGCCAACTACTATCTACCATGCAATGGGAAATAGCTTAGTGGAGAGATATAATGGCTCTCTTAAGGCTATGCTTGAAAAGATGTGTAGTGAACAGCCTAAAGAGTGGGTTCAGTATCTACCAGCATGGGGTTCTCCCCTTTTGAGATGCTGTATTGAGGAGTAGTTAGGGGTTCCTTAACTATTCACAGGGAATTGTGGGATAAAGAAGACACTGGGCAGTCACCGGTTATTACCACCTATAAATAAATCTTAAAATTTTGAGAAAAATGGGAAGAAACTTGTAGAATTGCCAGAATCAGTTAAAACAGGCTCAAGCTAAAGTGACCCCCATGAAACATGATACTGTACAGGTTAAAATAAAACAATCTATTTTTCCCATTCGAGTTATTTATTAAGCTACAGTTAAATTCAGCTTTGAACTGAGAGGAGAAAACTGCTTATCAGCCGGTTATTGTCAGCAATTTCATATAGAACAGACTGCGGCGAAATCCTACCGTCTTTTGGGGCAGAAAACCTACTGTATATCGGGGGCAGAATTCTACCGTATTCTGGGGCAGAATCCTACCGTCTTCTGGAGCGAAATCCTACCGTCTCCTGGGGCAGAATCCTAGTGTATTCTGGGACGAAATCCTATCCTATTCTGGGGTAATCTACCGTATTCTACGGCGAAATCCTACCGTCTTCTGGGGCGGAATCCTATTGTATTCTGGGGTGGAATCCTACCGTCTTCTGGGGCAGAATCCTATCGCCCTCTGGGGCAGAATCCTAACGTCTTCTGGAGCGAAATCCAACTGTCTCTTGGGGTAGAATTCTAGCTTATTCCGTGAACTCTTGGAACAATCGGCCAGAGAGTGTTGTGACGGCACCGAGTGTGAACTCTTTGAAGACCAGACTTGACAAACAGTGTAACAGAGCCCAGTATTTGCCCACAGTGTGTAACAGAGAGCCAGTACATGTCCAGTACAGTACTTGCCAACAGTGTGTAACAGAGAGCCAGTACATGCCCAGTACTTGCCCACAGTGTGTAACAGAGAGCCGGTGCATGCCCAGTACTTGCCAACAGTGCATAACAGAGACGTGACCGATCGCCCAAGCGGCTTACGAGCCGATCAGTGGTGAAGAGGATAAAAGTAAAAGAGTAATAATTATTATTACTATTATTATTTAGTTATATAGTAAATATGGCGAGTTTAATATGTCATTATGACTATTAATAAATTATTACTAAATAGACTTTAAATAGCCAAAGGAATATTTTTATTTTAGTGGATTTGTAAATGCTGTCAAATTATTTGGTTCTCTGGCTGTTGGCTTAAGTTTAGCTTAATAATATATTACCATTAAGGGGAATTTAATCAACAATTGAACATTATAATTAAAGCATAATTTATTTATCTGATGTAAATTTTATTAGTAAAATAATTTTGTTATAGTAATAAACTAATAATAATGAAAATTGTAATTACTGAAAGATAAGAGAGAGAATCGGACAAGGTGTAGCAGGTCGACAACAACTAACGTGGTCTTGTGTATATATATATTTTTTTTTATATATAAATATTTTTTTTTTTTTTATATAAAAATTTGTTTTTTTTATAAAAAAAAATTTTTATATAAAAATGTATTGTGTTTGAGTTAGAAAAATTTCTTATCCTTTGTTGACTTAGAAAAATTTATTATGTTTGTTGAGTTAGAAAAATTTCTTATCCTTTGTGGAATTAGAAAAACTTTTTGTTTGTTGATCTTCGAAAAAATTTTGTATGTTTGTGGACTTAGAATTTTTATTTATCTTTTGTGGACTTGGAATAATTTCGTATCCTTTGTGGACTTAGAAAATTTTTTGATGTTTGTTGACTTATAAAATTTTTCATTCTTTGTGGAGTTAGTATTTTTTCATCCTTTGTGGACTTAGAAAAAAATTATAATGTTTGTTGACTTAGAAAAAATTTCTTGTTTGTTGACTTAGAAAAAATTTCTTATGTTTGTTGACTTAGACAAAATTTCTTATGTTTGTGGACTTAGAAAAATTTCTTATCCTTTGTTGACTTGGAATAATTTCTTATCCTTTGTGGACTTAGAAAAAATTATGATGTTTGTTGACTTAGAAAAAATTTCATATGATTGTGGACTTAAAAAATTTGTCATTCTTTGTGGACTTAGTGTTTTTTTTATCCTTTGTGGACTTAGAAAAATTTCTGTTTTGTGGACTTAGAAATTTTTTCAATGTTTGTGGACTTAGAATATTTTTCATTCTTTGTGGACTTAGAAATTTTTTCAATGTTTGTGGACTCTGTATATTTTTCATGTATGTTGACAGAAATAATTTCAGTGTAATAAAAGAAAGCATATAATCAATGTCTTTATTTTTCCTAAGTTAACATACAGCCATATTGGATTTGGAAAACAAAAGCATGATGTTGTCGAAAACGGGATCACGTAGACAGCTGGCGTCGTACATCATATTCATTAACAACTATAAATGTATATAGGTCAGGTTCATATGGATAATGTCACTGTTCACTGCCATGCAGGACAGAGGTTCGTACACAAAGAGTTGCATCATATTCATTGACAGTACATATACATATATGTAAACACACACACACACACACATGTACATACATATACGTATATACATACACATATACATGTACACGTACATATACATGCACACACGCACACATACATACATATACGTCGATCAGATTCATGTGGGTAATGTCACTTTTCACTGCCATACAGGACAGAGGTTCGTACACAAAGAATGCATCATATTCATTGACACTATATATAGGTCAGATTCATGTGGGTAATGCCACTGTTCACTCACACAAAAAGCAGTATATATAGGTCAGTGGATCACATACATTGAGTCATATTCTAATTGAAGACTAATCAGTGTGGGCTAGCAAATTTGGGATAAACAGCAAGAATGTCCTCAAGCACACCTGATTCAATGAAGTAGATAGATTTTCTACTTTTCAGGAAATGGTGTATACCGACTTTTCGGGAAATAGATTTTCGAATTTTGGGGAAATATTACTATTTTGCAGTAGATTATCATAGAAAACAGGAAATTTGTATCATAAAATGGGAAATATCTACTTTCCGGGAAAGTTGGTTATCTACTCCGAAAAGTGAATAGATTTTCACTTTTCGGAAGAAGATTATCGACTTTTCGGGGAAGTAGATTTTTCAATTTTGGGGAAATATTACGTAATTTGCGAAGTAGATTATCATAGAAAACGGAAATTTGTATCATAAAATGGGAAATATCTACTTTCCGGAAAGTTGATTATCTACTTTCCCGAATAGATAATTTTCTACTTTTCGGGAAATGAATTATCGACTTTCAAAGTAGATTTTCAATTTTGGGGAAATATTACGTA